TTGTTGGGGGCAATATGCTGACTCTGTGAACCGCTTAGAGAGGGCTGAAAGCCCTATGAAGCGGTATATAAGTCTAACTGCTATTGCTATTGCTAACAATGCTTTGAGGCCTAAGCACATAGTGCTTATAAGCAGTTTCTGTATAATTGTGCCTAGATCACAAAAGATGTGAAATTGACTCTTGCAACACAACTAATGCAACTACAAACTCATTCCTGTTCAGAAATCTTTGGGGAAACTCATGCATTAGAATGAAAGCCATCAATGATAGCAGCTGCCAAAGTATTGTTTTCCATTTCTATCTGGATGGTTATAGTGGATTTGCATTTCGCTAATTTAGTTTGAGGTTTCTGCCTGTTCTTGAAAGAGGATCAATGGAATTGTACTGTAATGCAGGGACAGCGGCTATGAAAGGTGAAACTGCTTATAAAAAAATAGGTAGCTGCATTCCCTTCATTATTTTTCTTTGAGACTTCTTTTGTTAGCTTAAAAACAACAAGCACATCAGGGCAGCAAGGATCTGTACTTATTCTGCAGCCAGGAAATGCATGAAGAAATGAACTAAAGGGCAGCAAAAGGGAAACAGAATAACCCTTCTGTGTTGTTGCAACATCCACAAAAAAAATGTTTACAGAATTATACTGTCAACTTGTACCAATTTTCTGGAGATCCTCTAACAATATTTGGAATAGTATATTTATTCACATACTTATCAGCTTTTCACCCACGTAAAGTAGGGAATGATCCTAACAGTTTGAGAACATGAATTTTCTTAACAGGGATGTTATTATCCACTATTAATGTCAATACTATTTTTTTTTAATGTATTGTAAAAAGTGATGTCTATTGCTGGTCTATGACTGTAATAAAGATCCTATCCTATCCTATCGATCTTTCAACTTTCAACTTTAATAAGATTTCTATGCCGCCCACTCCCTTGGGACTCTGGGCGGCTCACAACAAAAGTAAGAACATTTAATTTTTTTAAAAAAAGTACAATTATTAAAATTAATACAGCATCCATTCAATCAAGTGGGGCCGGATATTAATCAACATCCTATCCTATCCTATCCTATCCTATCCTATCCTATCCTATCCTATTCTAGCATAACCCTTCAAAGTTTCACGCAATGAGCTTGAGGATGAGTTACAGAAGTCTGACTCATGCACTCCTGGCTCTGCCTCATTTCCAAATGCCTGCAAATCTGGGAGATTCCAAGGTCAGTCTCAGCCAAATAAATTCCATACTTGATTCTGGGGGCTCCAGAAATGTATTAATGTAGCCTTGGCTACCCGGGACAAAACCCCTGTGTACCCACTGCAAGTCCTGTGCAGGTGGAAAGTCAGTTGCCAACTAATTATTCAGCATTGCAGGACATATACTTGGCAAGGAAGATGCTGACCACCCCCTCTAATATTACCTCTACAATTGTGGCATTGCTTAGTTCTGGAAGTAGCAATCCTAAGGGGTCCACCATATGCCCTTTCTGAGCTGGAGGCAGAGATCACAATCACCTCATTGTAAAAAACCTACAGAAGGCTTCTGGAATGACATCCCCCAATGAATCATATAACTCGCATTCTGTTTTTAGTTAGATTAGCCTTTAAGATTTGGTACTTTTCTCAGGTCTTGGGTAGGAGTGAGTGATAAGGTGTGGGTTGTCTGACATTTTTTTTTGTTGGTGGTCGTTTTCTTCAGACAGTCTTTTTTATATTGGGTGGAATTTTTTTCTCCTAATTTCAATTTTGTCTATGTTACACACTGCTCAGAATTATAATGGAACCAGGGTCTTATAAAATTAATAAATATAATAAAATATTACTAATAATTTAATGAATCTTCTCTACCATTTACTATGTGTTTGGGAGCTTCCTGACCTGGTGTACTTCTAATTCTTGAAAGATGGCTTTCACAAGCTGCGCTGCTCAATTAGGGATTGCATGATAAAAGTGATATAATTTCAGAAGTACCATCTTTTAGCCATATAACGTTGAAATGTGTAGCTTGGTTTGTGTATTTGCTCTGCATTGATTGAAGGGATGATTGTTTTTCCTGTTGTCTTTTATTGTGTTACTCTATGTGAGTGTGTGTGTTTATTCTTTAATATATGTGTACATGCATGTGTGTGTATATCTATATATCTGTATATCTGTATGTATGTATGTATGGATGGATAGGGGTGTGTGTGTGTGTGTGTGTGTGTGTGTGTGTGTGTGTAAAAATTCTCCTTTTAACCCTATCAAATAAAGGAGCTAAAATAGAGAAATCTACAAGTTATGAATGCAATCTTAAAAGAATCTGTAACAGAAAATTATTTAGAGTGAATTTATTGCTGTGGGCAGATCATGAAATGTCATTGGCCTGTGGAAGAGGACTTTCTCCATCTAAAAACCCTGGTTGTATCCTGAGGATGATGACTATAATTACCATTGGAAGACATAAGATGTCTACTGAGCCAGTGGAGGAATTGTTTCTCAGTAATTTCTTCTTTAGCAAAATTCTTAAAGGTTGGGCAGCTGATTTTTAATCCATTGCCATATACAAAACTTTATTAGTCTGATTAAAATATATTTACTGCGTATGTTATCAGTTCAAAAGAGCAATGAGGAGCAATGAGAACTGAATTGAAGAGCAATCCAGTTCTGCATTCAGAACTGAAACACAGGACAAGGGCAAAAGTGCGTAAGCCTCTTATAGCAGAGTCTTACATTTTTGAAGAGCGGGAGTCAATAGTGGGGTGATGATATAATTTCCATGCAAATAGGATTCCCCCCCCCCCCTGTTTGCAGTTGGGGAGGGTAGTTGGTATATTGTTTTTTCATGTTTAAATTACACCATGGCTAATGTGTATTTACATATTTTTCATTTTTCTTCAAAATGTTGGGAAACTTTATTAATAATTTTCAGTGCCTTAAGGTCAGAAGAATTCTGAAGGATTGCTCTACCCTGCATGTGATTTAAATAAGATTATTTTAAAAAGCAGAAGAAATATTTTGAAGATAATCTTATTGCCAGAAGCTCTATTATCTGATAACAGAGAGAGGGTCTTGGTATAGAATGCTATCCCCAGGGAAGTACTTACACCTTTTTTTCAGGATTCAGTAAGGTGGAAAATTAACAGTTTTTATCTGTTAATTGATTTAAAATATATTGATTTTAATTTCATGTTATATAATGTATGTTTTCATTTTAAGTGTTATCCCTTGCAAATTAATAAAAGGGGCTCTTTTACTGATATTTGCAATCAAGTGTCAAACCAGAGATCAAATCATGAAAATAATTTATTTAAAATAACATAACACAAGCAAGAATAAAAAAGTTTAATTTCTGAGTTGAGGCAGGAAGTTCAATCCTTGAATGCATGGAAAATATGCATTCATACCTCAGACATTCAAACACTGCTATAAAAATGATGATAATAAACCAATGAAATCCTATAAATGTTATCTCTATTAATGTTGTTAGATTATTTTAGATAAATATTTTGTGGGAAGCCAAATATCTATTAGAGGAGGGGTTCCTAACCTTTTCTATACTCTGCACCCCTAGAACACTTCTGATATATTCTCACACCCCTTAAAAAAGTAAATAATTATATGCATATAATATGCATATACACTATAATTTTGAAACTTCTAAACCCAAATTTTCACACTCCCTGGAATATCGTCTTGCACCCCTGGTTGGGAACCCCTTTATTATGTAACTTAATAACCTGATCTACTTCAAAAAAAAATTACTCTTGATTAAGATTTAATCAGTTCACATTTCTTCTGTTACCCACATAGTAGACATGTGTGTTTGTATGCATGCACATGTATACAATCTATCTTGGAACAAAGTCATTGTTAGTGCTCTGGCCACTGGAGAACTGTTTTCATTTCACAATTCCCTAAACATACAGTTATCAAGCATACCTAACTGTCTGCAATGCAGAAATAAGGCAATAAACAAGTCTTATATTGTTTACTTCATACTAATCTATAGAAGAACAATGCAAAAGTAAAGAAAAGAAAGACCTATATTAAGGCAAAGTTGAGTCCTTGACCAATATTTGCTTCAGAAATATTGTGTTAATTGTCTAATCTATTGTTTAGGTTTAAATCTTATCTGTTTTTTTTCTAAAAGTCTATCATGGAAAATCAAGCAGTCTGGGAAGACATTTGACACCACTATCTAATGTGCTTTGGCTACCATTAAGTAGAGGGAGCAGAAGTTTGAGGATTCCAACTATTCCATGGAGCATTAAGCCCCAGGGCCAGCTGTGAGTCTAAGAAACAATAGAAGCCCTCAGGAGTGGAAGGAAGAAAGTAGAATTCCAGAAAATCATTCATCACTTTGATCTGCTGAATGGAGATGTGGTTGACTTGGCTCCTGAAGTTGAGGTGACCTTTCTTCATTTTCGTTCTCAGAACAGCTCCCCTTTTCAATGGATGATCTATTGATTGGTTTTTGGAAATACAGTGCCTTGAGCTTCTCAGGAGTCTGAGACATCTTCATGTGGCTTATCCAACACTTCATTAATGGATATTAGTATGAATTTGAAATCAGAATCTGTCTACAGCGATTTGGGGACATTTGATGTAGCTGGATTAAATATCCCATCATCATGTACATCTCCATCTTTAGAAGCCTCAGTGTGGGAATAACTGGCTGGAATAAATGCCATATTATTTATTACTACTGGGTAATTCTGGAATCACAATCCATGTCATGATTTCATGTGATCATCAGTGCATGGTGATCTGAAAAGTCCAGGAGATAAGGGCAAACAGTCACAGCTGCTTTGTGGGGGAGAAAACAAGAGAAAAATGTTCAGCTTTTATGCCTCCAGAAGGGAGGAAATGTTTTACTTTGTTTAGGATAGTGTGGGGCAGAAGTTATATAGGGAAGAAAGCATTTTTATCTTTCACTTCAGCTTGTTGGGTGGACAAGAAGCAATGGTTGCCTGCCTGCTTTGCCTTCTATTTGCCTGCAATCTTCTGCCAGTTCTCTTGGCTGGTAAAGGTAATACTGACACTGTGGTTTTAGAAGATGAAGGCGCCTGGGGCAATCTGCTATTAAATCCCATATATACTGTTGAAAACTCTTCCAGTCTCTCCTCCTCAGTTTTCTTATGGGTACTCTCTCTTTCTCCTCCTCATCTCCTCTCTCACTCGTGGTCATTTCTTACCATTTTCTTCTCTCCAGCTTTATCAGCTAATAATATTGGCATGTCATTGAACTTACAGGTCTTCCAGCTTGGACCTCTCTAGTCATCTTGTCCTAGTAAAATCATTTCATTAAGGAGAAGATATATTTTTCATCTGATCTTTTCAGAAAGCTGCAGCTAAGGGTTGTATGATTGAGCATGTATATTTCTGAGATGATTTTAGTTGGTCTTAATTGGTGTGTTATAAGAAGGAGCAATGCTGACATCAAATCAAGAATGGAAGAATGTACAGGTAGTCCTTAACCTACGACTACAATTCAGCTGAAAATTTATGGTGTTAAGTGAAATTTGTTAAGTGAATTTTGCCCAAGAAAATATGACTTTCCTTGCCACATTTGTCAAGTGAACCACTGCAATTGTGAAATTAGTTGTTAAACAAATCTGGTTTCCGCCATTGATTTTGTTTGTCAGAAGGTCACAAAAGGGGATCACACGACTCCAGAACAACCATCATAAATGGGAGTAAGTTGTCAAGAATCCGAATGTAAATCACATGACCATGGGGATGCTACAATGGTTGTAAGTGTGAAAATAGTCATGTTATTTTTACAGGGCCATTGTAATTTCAAATGGTCACTACATGAACTGTTGTAAATTGAGGACTATCTGTATTTTCCAAATTTTAATCCATCAGTATAAGATGGAGTTGTTAACACTAATTTATTTTTTCCATAAGACTTTTCTCCTATATTTTCATCTCACTTTCCTTTCCTTTAGATCAAGATTCAGCTTCTATCTATATTGTGAAAGGCTTTTAAGTTTTATATACAGTAAAACAAATCAAGGGCATTATTTTTTGAAAATTTGCTTGGTAAATTGCATTTAAAAGAAGTTTGAAGTATTTGTTCTGGAGCTTTTTTATGTCTGTGAGATGTCGACTTCTACCATGCTGACTTAAAGGTGGGGAAAACTTAAGAAATAATCTATTTCCACACATTTTATCATATTTAATTGCTAAATCACTCTAGACTGTCCAAATCATTCTACAGAGGATGTTATTTCTTCTGTTCTCCATCTGAGCTTGGAGCACTTAGAAGAAAGAAACACTTATGTATGAATGCTGTTCGTTGACTTCAGTTCAACATTTAAAACAATCACCCCTCTGCATCTAGTAGACAAACTGGGCCTTTTAGGCTTCAATATTCCTTTGTGCAACTGGATCTTGACTTTCTTACTGATAGGCCTCAATATGTACGAGTTGCGACTAATATTTTGAACACCATTTGTTTGAGCACAGATTCTCTTCAGGGCCGTGTCCTAAGTCAGCTGTTGTTCACCCTGTTGACTGTTGTGCTAAGTTTACCACCAACTCAGGGGTGAAATCTACTTACCTTCGCTACCGGTTAGCAAATGTGAGCGGTGTGCAGATTGGCTGCCCTGATGCACATTTAAATGTCTCACACAGTCAAGTGGCCAGGGAAAAATATCCCTTCATGAAATGCCCAGAATAAAGAGCTGAAGGAAGAGCACTGGCTGACCAATGGCAGGAGAGGAGCACCAATGTAGAGCCACCTGAGTAAGAATGGCCATTTTGGGTCAGCCATGGTGGGGTGCCCGAGTAGAAGTGTTAAGACAGCCATGTTCAATTGTCCTAGACCTCTCCTATAATTTAATGTACTGAAAACCTCTACTTTGATAACTACAAATGAATCAGATGAATAATTACTTTTCTTGTATTAATTTTTCAGCCATTGAAATTCCAGACATTTTTAATATTACTGATCCAGTGAAAGGTGTACTTTAGTTTCCTAAGATTTGCAGTTCCAAAATGGGAGCACAAAACAGGAACTGAATCAATCCCTTAGGATAAGTAAGAAATAAAAATTAAAAAAAATAAATAGTAGGATTTGCTGGGCAACATTATTGCATAATTCTTTCCTTGGAATATCACCTCAGGATCCACAAATATGATCCCATTTAGCTGATCGCTTAATCAGAAAGAGAAGTAGGATTGGTCCTTTCCTCTCTCAGTTCTTGTCATAATTTACACACATATTAATTTGATTCCAGGCATTTAATCATTATCCTGTGATTCTGAGGCTTTAATAGATTCTTTCCTCATTTTAATCATAGTTTTCCCCCCTCCAGGTTCTTCTTCCTGTGTCTTCCCTTTTGTCTTTAATGGGAGGTCATATTCATCTTGCACTAGAGATGGAGCCATTGATGAGCAGCTCTGGTGCAGTACAACATATAATTATGATACAGATGGCCGGTGGAAGCACTGCATTCTTCAAGGTAAGTAATCCAGAATCCTATCAGAAATGAATCATTCAGAATTCAGCTATCTTCTTCTCTGGGCAATGGTTTTATAGGTTACATTTCAATAAATGGCTCATGGCTTCTAAGCAAGATATAAGATAGGGCTACTGTTTGTCACTGTTATAAGGCTCTCATCCCCTGGCCTAATCCCTGCAATGCTGAAGTGTCATCATGATAGTTGGCTGGAGAGAAGAGCAATAACATTATCCTTAGATAGAAGTAGTTGCCTCTACAACAACCTCTGGGATCTGGTAGCAGTGGCATCATAAATTAATGGAAAATGCAGTGGTATGTCCCAAGGAGTCTGCACTCTGTTCCCCAAACTAGATTGCTTCTTATCCAAGAAGCTTCTTCAGCTCTGACAGGATAGTGGGAATGGAAGGATTTATGTTTCTTGCAGAGAGCTGGTAATCTGCATCCTTTTAAAGGGTTGTTGAAGCACTTGGAGGTTTATCTGTGTCCTTAGGGTCACCTGAGTAGTGCGCCTGGTTCCTGTGGTCTGCAATTTTTCTCTGGAAATCCATTCCTATTCTCACACCATTCAAAGAGTGTTCATCCAAAATTGTACAGCTAAAAGTCTGTAGAGATTCTCCGTCATCCAGGTCATGGTTGTTCCAAAGGTGCTTTTTTCAGGAGGCAACTGGATTTTCTTGGTTTTTTTTTCTTTTGAAGATGTTTCACTTCTCATCCAAGAAACTTCTTCAGCAACCATGATCTGGATGACTTAGAATCCCTGCAGACTTAGATCTGATGGGAAAAAAATGCCCAATTGGCAGCACTCAAATGAAAAAATTATCTTTCACTATACACTATACAAGTGTAATACTTCTATAAATAAATGGAGAGGCAGCACCATTCTTTCATCTCAGTAGTAAAAGGTTTCAGACCAACCCTTAAAAAGTAGTCCATGTAATTTCTAAACCCAATAGAGATCAGAGATCCTATCCTAATTTGGAGTCTGAGCCTGGAATATTCTGTTTGAAACAGGGCTGGGCAATTTGCAATATAAGCCATTTTTAGTGGTCCTTAAACCTTAGAGATTTCAGTGACAATATTCAGCAAATTGTCAAATCACAGAGGCATAATTTCATTTTACTCTTTTACAACATAAAAGTAATGTAAAAAATCCCAAAGTGTAAAAACTTCCATATTGATTTAACGTACTATTATTATGTACGGTATGTGTAATTGATAGATTCACAGTCTAAAATTGATGGGAACTTAATAATTTAAATTCTAACCAAGGATGTAAGAATTATTAAAGTAGTGTCTAGGAATATAAGTAGTTCCAAGCAGAAGGGAGGGTTTGTGTGTATGTGTAAAATTAGGGATTTGGGTATGATAATTTCAATAATTTCACATATTGAGGTAGTGTTTTAGGTATTGTTCCAATGTGCTCCAATCATGATTGGTATTGGATCTGGGTACTTGAGAGACCGCCTGCTGCCAATTACCTCCCACAGACCCATTAGATCTCACAGGGTTGGCCTCCTCCGGGTGCCATCTACCAGCCAATGCCACCTGGCTATTACCCGGGGGAGGGCCTTCTCTGTGGCAGCTCCGGCCCTCTGGAATGAACAAGGGTTTGTCT